TACAAGCGATGACACCAATTGCCAGAAGAATCCAAACCAAGCTGAATGAACGCGTCAGAGCGCAGCTGTTAACAAAGGCGCGTTTGCATGCGATTGCTTAAGACTTCTGAGTTGCGTTTAGACGTCATTGAATTTAGAGCAAACTTCCCAAGTTGAACTGTTTTTCTTTAGCTTTACTCTGCTATGTTTATCATTATCGTAATTCAATTATTCCATTGCTTAGATATGGTGAAGTTGATTATTAGTTCACGGTTGTGTAACGATAATGATATCGTTCATCTCTTTCTGTTCTTTACTCTCTCACCTCTATATCATACTATCTCCGGGTCATATCTCTCTTTCCTCTTCTTTATATAACCGCGTGTCTTATTGTGAAAGAGACACATTCTGGTCATGTAGAGTAGTCAATAAACATCTATACCGTGAGAAGCGGTCAGCTACTCAACCAGTTTGTCGTTACAGGTTGCTTCAGTAGATGATGATCGCAGGTGCCATGTTTATTCGCTTCCTTATGGTTTCAAATTTTTCATCCGACTCAATAATTCTTTTCATTTTCTGCTGCTGCAGAACAAACGGCCATTCGAGGACAAATTCTTTCAATTCGCATCATAATGCTTTCCTTGTTTTAAATACCTATATGTGTATAACGATGAAGCACAAGAAAATAACCAAAATTGTACTCAACTGATCACATTTTCCTTCATGACGTTTCTCTATGTGAAAGCAGCACATAGAGATTACGCTGCACAAGTTCTCTCGAAGAAGAAGACTTCTTTACCCAATTTATTACATCTGACGATTAGATATGATTTACTCATGACGGTAACGAATTTTTTTACTACTGATGCTGCTGGTTTCAATTTCGGCAACTTGAAAAAACTTGATATAAGCGAATCGTTTGATCAACCAGCGAATTTTCATATGATGCGTTATAGCGTTAGCCGGGAAATTGAATATATTTCAACATCAATCCAATTTCCGGGAAACTCGATATGTTCCGGACGTCAGCTCACTTTACGGAAATTCAAAGAAGTGTTTCGCACTACATAAGTGTAACCTTGCGATTCTATGTGATGACGGTCATCTCTGATTGGGGGTAAGGGGCGTGGGTGATGAGGGTTATCTCTGAACCCATAAAAGCCTGTAGTATCTTTACTATGTATTTTCACGGATTGCAGTTTCCTTATTCCATGTTTGTGTCAAAAATGGATTTCCCGGAAAACGCTATAACGCATCAAATCAATTAATTCGTTCAAAAGTCGGATGTCACTGATTTATTCTTGAAAGTTTAGCTTTCAAATGACATTTCCAAACATGTGAATGCGTTTTGCATCGCTAAAACTGATTTTTGGACACATTTAATTTTTCCTGGAAGAGTACCTGAAGTACCCCAGGGAAATTTGATGAAAAACAAAAGATTCGAAAGCGATCTAAAACACGCTATTTCTAGATCAGTTTTTTGTGCTGATTCCGAATATGACACTTTTAAAACTAAAATGTGAATGACAGGATTCGATGATCGCCTCAGAAGCTCGAATCTGTGAGTGATCCTTTGAACTCGAGTGTTTGGATATTCCGGATATCATTTTAGAACTAGGAGAAAATATCAAATATGCCATTTTGTAGAGCAAATCAAGCTCTATTGATGGCTGTATGACTTAACTGAAAAAGTGAAAACAGGTGAGAAAAAATCTATAAATACAAACAGGACGTGATATTAATTTTTTGCCAAAATTGGTACTCGTGGTCAATCTTCAAGTTGATCCTCTGCACCACTAGAACAGTTTGTATGAACGCCGAGCACATGGTTCGATGCAGAATCAAAAGGGATACACGCTGGTGTGTAGACATTTTTGGCAATCGATTTTTCTCTATAGTATTTGAACGAAATACTGTGAATGAGCCGACTTTTGAAAACACTAAAACCAAAAGTATTTCCATTTTTTTTGCCTCAGTTTTGACTCAAACAGAAAATGTCATATAGGCAGTTTTGTAGAGCAAGTCAAGCTCTATCGATCGCTATATGACTAAATTTGAACGAAACAAGCGATGTATGAAAAAAAATCAAAATACAAAAAAACTCGGTTTTAGTCATTTTTCAGATATTTTTTTCGGTGAAATCGTTCGGTATACCCTATCTTCCTTATAATAAATCTTTAGGCCGTAATATTCTGGATTCAAATATAGGTCAATGTTACCTAACTTCCTTGGGGGTCAAATCCAAAATCGGTTGCCCCCCATGTTTTGGCAAAGTTCGATTTTTTATGGACCGTCTCTTAACAATGTAAAATGCATGTGCCATGATTTACCGTTACGTCCATGTTTTGTTTTGGGCAATCTAATGGGAAAAGTGGAGTTCGAATTAAAAAATGAGCATCTACATAGTCATAGCTCCTTAACAGCCTTTGTTCGGAAGGCTAATGACTCCGTTCTCTAGATCATCGAGCCACTTAAAATAGACTTTGGATGCTCTGTCGAGAAAGAGAAAAGATCATAATAAAAAGACGCGAAGAAACTCAATAATACGATGCTAGCGCACCGTATTAACCCCTTGGTTACGGGTTTTTCTTAAAGACAAGTCTTTAGTTTTTGTTTCGAAATAAGTACAAAACAAATTTTATTAGTATATATAAATGTTTAAAAATGCTTTAAGGTATGATAATTCAGAACGCATATATGCGTGATCCGTAATCAAAAGGTTAACTAGCGCACCGTATTAATAACGCGCATGATAATCTTTGTAACTATTCTTAGACGAGATTTTCCGCTTCTTCAATTGCTTGATAAAGCTGATCCAATTGGTGATTGAGAGTGTCCAAGTATGATAAGTCCTGTTGCAATTCTTTCATACGTTTTTTGGTAATATGATAAGTGGCTATATCAGCCACTGTGAAGACGCTAAAAGTAGCAACTAATATTACAGCAAGAGCCTTAGCATCTGATGAAGCAAAACCATAAACGCCGTGAAATTGCAAACCATTGCCGATAGCGGACGCAAAATGTGAAATACCATCTAGAACCTGCCGATCCGCTGTCATATCTAATCTTTCGAATTTTCCATTAATTTTTAACTGCAAATTACTAATTAATGTTTTGGTCTGGTTATATTTGAGATGCGCACGCGTACTTATTTTTGAAATCTGGTTCATGTTGTTTGCCTGAAGTGCTTGATTAAGTTGTCCAATGATCTTTTGGAGTGTATCGATATTTAATTCAATTTGCTTGAATTTCATGGGATCATTATGTAAGTTTTTTGCCGCAGAGATTTCTTTCCAAACGAAATAGATTTTAACAATCTGCATGACGATAATAGCAGAAGAAGTTTTTGCGGAATTATAAATCACACTATCAGCTAGTTTTTGTCGGGCATCTTGAATTGCGTTTTGGAAATCTGTTTGTAACTTGAGCGTATTTTGACATTGATTAATTTTGCATGACATTTGGTTCTGTGGACAACCGAAATGTTTTTCAAAATCTATTTTACCAATAGCTGTTCTATTTTCTTCATGGTATTGCAGTGCATCATGAAAGCGCTGTTTGTCTTCCCCCGTATTGACAATTTTGAACATAGTACCTAGTGTCTGAATTCCTGTGCGAAACCTCGCATTAAGATTAACACTTTTCCGAAAACCATATCCGAAAAATCCCAACGAAATAAAATACTTGAGGGCATTACCGAAAGAGCCCGTTCTCTCTTCTTCAGGTAGTTCAGAATACATCTGGTTAGCCGCGTTTACCATTGTCGCATCAAAGTCGGTTGCATTGTTATCCGTATCCGCCATTAGGTCCATTTTTTATGCGAAGTTTCTATTTAATAATGGCGTTTTTTCAAATAACAATAATTTTGTGAATATTTGTTTAAACTTGATGTTTTTAAATTGACTATCATAAGATCTTTCGAAGAACAGCTCCTTTTATAATGCAATGACCTTGGTTTTTTCCACTGTATATTAAATAAGGCACGAGAAGCACTCTACGACGTAAATCATACGTAGTTTACTTGGAAAATTCCAACAATTACACGAGTAAATATTTAAGTTTTCCTTTGCCTGTGGTCTACTACAGGACGAAAGAATCGTCAAGAAAAAAAGAAAAAGAGAAAGACAGACCATTCATTTTCTATTTTCTTCCAACTACCTTTTTTTGAGGCATTCGCATGACTCGTAAAACGATAAAAAACACTTGAGCGTTCGAAAATTTCTCACAAATAAGCATGAATTGTATGGAAGATTTTTTAACTTCAGTACTGGCTTCAACTCCAAGTATTCTTTATTAGATGTGTGACTGTTCCGGTTTAATTCAAATAATGGAACTGATGTAACCTATTTCAGTTCGCAGAAACTGAACTGGATGGTCAGTTGATTCAAAAAAGAACCGGTGTCAGTTGAATAAAAAAAGCTTGTCAGCGTAGCCCCTTTGGGGCTAAAATGTGGAACTCACATCCCAGTCAGACAAAAATTTGGAAAAACGTTAATGGTTCACAATCGCGGTTCTCTTCTGTGTGTTTAAACACGTTTTACCAAATTTTTATCTGACTGGAACGCTTGCATTTGGAAAACGAGATTGTGGATTCGAATAGGATACTTAGGGAGTAAGCTCACTTTAAGATCATCACTCTCAAGCTGGTAGCATTTCTAGTAGTCACAAAAGGTATAACCAGTTGATTCAACTGAAGAAACAAACATGTATAATTGACTGTCCTTGGTTTAATATAAAAATACTATGTGAGAATTATTTAGAATTCCAGACAAGGCGAGACTTTTCTGAGCAAAGTGCACGTTGGGCCATTTTCGCATAATTTAAATAATACCGAGTAAAGCCCAAACAGCACAGCAGAAAATAACGAAATGTATTTGAAATGCAAATATTTTTACTTGAATAGTAAATAATAGAAATTTGAACACGCTGATTACATTTTTCTATGTTCCATAACTCTAATACTCTACATTTCTAATACTTCTATAGGTCATACGGCTACAATAATCGTCGCAGTGCCTACACCCTGTGTAGCGCCTGTAGTCCTGTAGGGCTGAGCCTGTATAGCTCATGCCGTCCTTGCACCCTGTGGCGGCTAACGCTGTCCCCCTTGTACTCCGTGACCTCGTAGCAGCTAACCTGTATAGCTGGAATAGCGGCTTGTTGCCTCGGGGGGGGGGTGGGGGGCTCCAAAGATCCTGGATATAAACCTTACACTCACTATTTTTCTTCGAAAAATAATGTGAGTTCCACAAAATCTGAATGTTTTTATTTTCATATTTATGGTACTAAAAATGTGTGCCATTTCTAAACATGAGGTTATGATTTAGATATATACCTTCTATTTCGAAGAACGATAAACGAAAGAATTCTTACTGGCATTATTTCAACGATGTTTCGTTTTCGACAATTACTGATTTCGTCATCGACAATCACTCGTAATCACCCTATATTGTATATGTGTGTGTCGGCAGCAAGTACTTGGTGTGATCCCCTACCAAAATTAGAGATCCAAGTACCTGATCCACCAGAAGAATGTCGTACTCATTCGCATATATTTGCGAGATATCTAACTGACATATACAACCAGTTTACTAATTATTCAGTGGAACTAACAAGAACAATGGAACGTGCACATTCCGAAATAGATCATCAGCGTCTAAGTCAAATTCGAATGTTAACCACAGACTACCTCAAAGTCACCAATCGATTTCATCTACGCGGTGCGATGGAATTTATTCGCGAAAATAAGATAAAAGCAGAGTGTCCACCGAAAATAGGTTTACCCGTCGATGAATTATTGAAAAATCTATTAAACGAAAAAAACTTTAGAAATGAGTTCGAGATCGCAACAGAAGTCAACAATCTTGTTCTTAAGGATACTGGACGTACGTTCATTGGCCTTTACCATTCACTAAGTCAACATGCTCATGGTACCAACACATTCACTAATATACATATTGATTCTCAAATATTACCACCACTTGAACAATTTTGTACTGGTGTTTTATTTAAAAGATATAATATTCCGTTCACATATTTAGATAGACACGCTAACCTTTGCAATTATCCATATAATCTCTCTGCGATTACTTCTGGTCATTAGATTCTTAAGCGAGGGATATTTAAGATAACTGGTATATACATGTATATCGTTTTATTCTATGAATAAATTGGAATGAGGGTGACGGTGGGCAGAATAGCATCACATATCGTCAAGAACATATTCTACGTTCTTGACTGATAGATTTACTTTTTTTAATGTGATGATCAGTTCAATTCATAATAAAACCATAAAATTGCATTTGGTAACATATCCCAAGAAAAAGAAAAGAAAATTTGTAATTTACAACACAAACATATTTTTCGAACTCCAAGAGCATTTCGAGGAATCTAATTGCAAATAATGTTTGCATTTTCTCTCAAGCGGCAATCAAAGATTGATCTCTCTTAATGTTTCTCGAATGTCTATCATTTACCCCGAATCTGGTTACCCCAGATGCATCCCAAATAAAATCCCCATGCGGGGTAAATGTTGGTAAAATCTGAAAACTGGTGACCAGCTGGGGATTTTTTTTCGGGGACATCTTCATTTGGGGATTTTTCCGTAGCATATCTGACAGTATGTGTATGTCGCGAGCGTTTAAAAAACCGACCTTCATGCTTCGTATCGCATACCACCTCCGTAAATTAGGATTCGAGAACGCTTCAGATGACTGAAACAAAATATTAAGATCACACGTATGTATAGTTCAAAACTGTATGGTGATCACCATTCTGGTTACCAGGCTCAAAATCTTTTAGAGTCGCGAAGATATCGAATTTGTTTGACCATATATTTGTCAAAACAAATAACACCGATGATCAATTACTTAGAAAGTATTTTTCTGAAGCACTGGTGACCACAGCTTCCAAGTGAGTAGGCCTAAGATAAGTTTAGTACAATTACATAAACTTTATTGAAATCTTTTATAACAGCAAGAGTAGTCATAGACTTTTGTACTCATGGACCTCAGTTCGATCAAATGTTTGAGAACATATATTAGATCTGCTCACTTGGAAGTTGTGGTCACCAGTCCTTCAGAAAAATACTTTCTAAGTAATTGATCATCGGTGTTATCTGTTTTAACAAAGATATAGTCAAACAAATTCGATATCCTCGCGACTCTAAAAGGTCTTCAGCCTGGTGACCAAAATGGCGATCACTATACAGTTTTGAACCATACGCGCATATCATCGTTATATTTTACGTGGTCTCTAGTTACACAGAATCGTTGTTCTTAGGCGAGTTCTATATAAAGAAACTTTAGCAAAGGTGTTAGTTCTGGTAACCACAAATGACTTTTATTCAGAAAGCTCTCAATTCAAGCATACTCTCAGGAATGTCGATGTGGTATATCAGAACCGAAACTTCCAATGAATATGCTTTCATCAGACTCTAAATAGAGCAGCAATGTGATTTTCCTTTTAATGAACAGTGATGACAACTCTGGTTGCCAGATTCGACAAAAAGTAAGATTTTCAAATCTATATCTCATGTCTCTTGTGGTTGAAATCAGATCACATAATGAATTGCATTATGTCAGCAACACATTTCTGGTGGCCAGGCTTGCAATTGCGAGATATTACCTAGAAATCGATTTACATTGTCTTAGAGTCTGGCAACCAGAGTTGTCATCACTGTTCATTAAAAGGAAAATCACATTGCTGCTCTATTTAGAGTCTGATGAACCACCATTTCTGGTCACCAGATTTGATATTTTAGCGAGCTATATAGGTCCGTGGATCGGGAAAACTACGTTTCGTCTCACTTCGTCATTACGGACTCCCGTAGCAGATGTCTGTTACGAACTTCCGACAAAAAAAAATTTTAAATTTTCGTCACGGATGTCGGAAAGACATGATTAAATTTAATACGGCGGATGTCCGTGACGAAATATGCTCGGCATATCGGGGTGAACTACGTTTCGTACCACTCATTCCGAACACCCGCACCCTCACTTACGGACACCCTGCACTTTTGTTACGAACACCATGTATTTTTCCTTCTGCCGGGAGTTCGGAAAAATAAAGTGGTACTAAACGTAATTTTCCCGGAATATCGTAAGTAGCATTGAGACCATTTTTTAAGATCAAACAGAAATTTTGACTGGAGTTCGGAATTAGAAAGTGCAGGGGTTCGTAACGGTCAATACAGGAAGGTCGTAACGAACTCACAGGATGGTTGGAATGAAAACGACAGGATGTTCTTAAACAAGTTAAAATTCAAGCAATGTCGAGAAAACTTTCATTTATACATTAATCTTCAGATTTTAGATCGTTCTTAAAGGACGTCCCGGTGCGTGTAAGTGGTACAGGTTAAGACTGTGTAATTTACACTAATGACATCTATCTATACAATTATTTCTTTTTCGGTTTTAGTTTTCCTCTCTCTTCTCTTGTTATGTGATTTGATATGTGTAAAAGAAACAAACAACAGAAGGTTTTGTATTAATATTTCAACAAACTCAAATCCTTCCACATCAAATAGTGAATACATAACAATAAAGATCTTCCTTTTTATTAATCCAATGATAGTGAACGAGAAAAAAAACTATTTGACGTTTAAATCTGATTTCCAGAGTAAACAGAGAGCCTAGCATCACAAGAAAAAAAACAATATACAGACCAACGATTCGAATGTTCAATATTTCACACGTTTACTTTTCTTATCACAATTCTTACTCTTGGTCGACTTAGCAGTAGCTAATGTTGAAGAACTAAAAATGAAGAGAAAGCATTACAGATAATTACTGACTTCATCAAAAAGAATATAAGATACTTACCCTTGTGAGGGAGGTGAATTCTCATCGTCCGACAGATGAGAACGCTTGTTGGAATACGCTGTTTGCTTGTTTTTCGATTTTGTATTAGTTGCGACAACGTGAGAAGATGATAGAACAGATGATGAACTTGTCGCATCATTTCGCCCATTAGGTTTGGTTCTTAAACGATTAATTATTGGAGTGGAACGATTTATCATAGGTAAACGATTAGTATTTGACTTGTTTGTTTTTTCTGGAGTTGAATTCTTTTTGTTTATTGTATCTGTAGCATCCCAACTTGAAATTGTATGTAATTCCGAGATAGCAACAGCTTTTTCAACTCTTGCTTTAACTTTTTGTTGTTGCTTTTGTTTCTTAATAGATTTACTAGTTTTCTGCTTCTTTGCGAACGAAGATATGGCGCGTTCATATGCAGATGACTGCGAACGTTCAGATGAAGATGATTGTGATCGAACAAATTTTTTCTCAATGACTGTTGCTGAAGATGGTTTGTCCGTTGGTAAGACAACTTCTTTTAAGTGCTTTCGTTTCCCTAATGTTTTAATATTATAATCATGCTTTAATGTTCCTTTTGTTGCTACAACATTGCTATTTAATAAACGAGATATAAATTCGCATCGTTCACGAGCAACGAAGAACCTTGAACTTTGAACATAATTGAAGTAATCAGAAATAATTGGTAAACTTCCTTGAGATTTAACATAATTTAATCCATAAGCAATCAAAAGTTCAGCTTCATCTGTGTTTGTATAGACACGATAAAAACCTTTAAAAAAACGAAAACATAAACAACGCTCGTCGAGGGAGACTCGCATTACCCTCGACTAATTGGGTTATACTTCAGATAAAACTTGCGCTTCCAAATGATGTCTCGGGAACGGTCCTCGTCAATTTCAACCTTTTCCAAAACTAACCAAACAACTGTCATCGTTCTTGTTATTTATGTAATGTCCATTATTCATGATCATTTTTCACACATGAAACAGCAGCCCGTATGAATAGCTACTATGATGATTGCGTCTTTTAGTAATGCGAAACTCGAAATTTCGACTCAACTATTCAACTATTTTTGCAATCTTTTTTTACAATTATTTGAATATTCGACTGCTTTCAAAATTCTTCTGTTCATCCTCACTGAAATTATGTCCCTTCAGAACCCTTTTACTCACTCGCAAGTACACGAATATTCGAATAATTGAACGGAAGGGTAGACTGTTGAATTTAAGTTTCAAACTATAAATATTTGGTATTATGACAATCTATGATTGTATACTTTTCCTCTTCTCTCTTTCTCTTCCTCTTCATATACAACAATTATCTGCTTTCTTCCTTCCTATATGAACTTCGACATTAGCCTCTTAATCCATATACCCAGCATACAGGGTGTCCCAAAAGTCCGTATGGAAAGTTTTCATTAATATCTCCTATACAATACAAGCAATTAAATTGTTTTTTTTTTATAGAAAGATAGTATATTCTCTTAAGTTTCACTTCATATATTTTGAGTTACAACAAATGCTCAAAATGATTACCATCACTCTGAACACATAAATGCATCCTTTTCACAATATTGAAAAAAACATTACACAAAGTTTCTTTAGAAATTGATTCGATTTCGTTGTTGATTCTTCTTCGTAATTCAGTCAGATCTTTTACAGGAGTTTTGTAGACGATGTTTTTTAAGTGACCCCACAAGAAGAAATCGAGAGGGGTCAAATCCGGTGAGCGTGGAGCCCATCGAATTGGACCACCTCTTCCAATCCACCTTTGAGGAAACTGATGATCCAAATATTGTCGTACATCAACGGCGAAATGTGGAGGAGCTCCATCTTGCTGAAAAAAAACTGAACGGACCTTGTGTAATCTCCTAACTTCTGGAAGAAAGAAGTTTTGAAGCATTGATAAATATTTTTCTCCATTAACAGTATCACCTTCGAAGAAAAATGGACCAATCAAGTGAGTTCTTGACATAGCACACCAAACATTTAATTTAGGAGAATTCATAACTGTTTCAATGGTTGCATGTGGATTATCTTCGGACCAATATCTGACGTTGTGTTTATTAACTAGTCCATGTAAATAAAAAGTAGCTTCGTCAGAAAAAAAATATTTTCTTGAATACTCTTGTCCTGCAACATCGGTATCAATGTTTTGCACATGTCAACTCTGTCTTGTGTATCTTCTTCATACAATTGTTGGACGAATTGTGCCTTGTACGGTTTTAATCCAAGATAATCTCTCATAATTCTATGTGCTGTACCCCGTGAAACAGAACAATCTGTTGCAACAGCGCGAACAGACGATTGTGGTTCATTTTAGATGAAGTCACGAACTTCACTGATCTTTTCTTCTGTAATTTTTGGTGGCCTGCCGGAACGTTCTCGATCTTCTACTTACCAGTTTCACAAAAACGTTCGAATGTACGTTTAATACAAGCTTCAGTAGGTGTGTCTTCACCAAAATCGACCTGTAATTTTCGTCTGACGACTGCAGGTGATTCAAATTTGGCCATTAACAGAACAATTTTTATTCTAATGTTGATAGGCACGGACATTTATCTGAAAGTATATAAAATAAAACTTGGCAGAATATACTATCTTTCTATAAAAAAAACAATTTAATTGCTTGTATTGAATAGGAGATATCAATGAAAACTTTCCATACGGACTTTTGGGACACCCTGTAGAGATATTGATGAATTTATCTCTTCTTCTTATTATGTACCATTCATGTGATATTGATATCAGAAACGCACTCTTATGTACGACTGTTTCTGCTCTCTGTGTTTTGAAAAGACTATAGCCGCATGATCATCTGGCTCATCAACTCATTGTACGATAGCGATAGATCGTAGAAATTATTTATAAAGCTTGATATTTTTCTGTAGCGTAATACTGTATGTACTGAGAACTATGAAAGGACGAGGAACATACAGTAGAGATTCGATTTGTTTCGATTCAATACAGGATACACTTATCATGTATTATCTCTTGTATTATAGATCATCATAGGCATCTTCAAAGTAGGATCTAGCATTGCGACCAAAAAACGTTTTTGGTTCCAACCGCAAATGGCTGCACTATTTCGTTGATTCGAATATAAGATAATCTATTAAATGTGCATTTTGTAGAGAATCTTTTTCTCTATCGAACTGTATAGGTTAGATCATAATAGAACACTTTCTCTCCGACTAATTCAGCAAAATGATCGGGCGAATTTCGCTTCTGCACAGCTCGCTCAAAACTAACCCTTTGGTTTCTTTTTGACATTTTTCTAAAAGAAAGTTTTGTGGTATCGTTGAAAGAATACAACTTGGAAGAGGAAACGGTTTTCTATAAAATACGCATTTAACAGATTATCTCATATTCTAAACAATCAAATGGTACACAAAATCTTCGGTCGCGCTGCCGCACCATACCTTGTACGTGTTCTCACTTTCCTAATAAAATGAAGAGTTAAGTGAAGAAAGATGAGTGTTCATGTAAATTTCAAATCCAAACGTGTCAAAATGTTTCTAAATGTGAACTAGAAAGCGTCACCGGGAGCAGCTCGTCGTTCGTCGGCGCCCCAATGGGGCGCCACTCATGACTCGTCGCTCCGCACCCTTCCCATTTTTCAGTCTGACTATCCAACTTATTTAAACAATGACTGCTTCAATACTTTCCAACAAAATTATCAATCATCAGAGACGTTATTATATCAAAATCTCGTTCATTTAGTGTACGATCATTACTTTTCTTCTTTGCATTATTATACTTGAGTGTGAGACACATCCTGTCCTAGAGTCCAATTTGTGATTCGATACGCTAGCAAAAACTAATACTAACAATAATCTATACAACATTCTTCGCTGTCTCTTTTCTGTAGTCGTATCAATAGAAGCAAAAGAATCAGAATTGTAATCTGGACATGTGTTTCTAAGGAAATTCTCCTGGTGTCACAAATACAAGTTACATTACATTTTGAGAACGTATCTCTCAGTTTCGATGTATGATAAATTTCTTTGCACATTTGTAGTTATGAAAAACTTTCT